GGCATCTTCATGACTATATTAGAAAAATTAACAAACAAAGTTGACGACGTGTTTTCTCTTTTTATTCTATGTTTGGTTAGAAAAAAACTAATAAAAATATTCTTTACATTTATGAATGAATCATATATAACTGCAGTGAAAGAGATTTTTTACATGACTAAATACTTATTTTATGTCTTTTGGATTCTAATAATACTGAATTGTTAACTGACGAGTATGTTATTTGCTAGAGTAATCATTATCAACTTGTGATTATAAATTATGTTGTTTTTGTGATAGAAAAAAAACCTAAAGAGATTAACAAAAAAAAATGTGTGTATAAGTATCAAACTCATCTCACGTCCATTCACTAATAAAGTTTCTTCTATTATGAATAATTTTCAGGAAAATTTAACATTTTAGATTGATTCTATTTGAGGGTGGGTGTGGATGTGCGTGTGCATATAAAGATAATAAGATACCCAGACCCACACCCTCAAAAACATTGAAACATAGGCCTCATATATATAATTAGTAAATTCACATTATTCGTTATTAGTCAAATATAATAAAATTATAATAAACAGCAGAAATAATGTATTATTTTGATGAACAGTAAAGTATGAAAGTTTCAATGCAATTTATTTCAGATTACAATCAATCAGAATAGATATCCATCGTGAATATATAGATTTACAGAATAGAGTAATATATGATGTTCAATTGATTGAATGAGTTCAGATAAATAAAGTACTAATAAAGACATGAGATTTTTATGAAATTTTATTTAATAATGTAGTGAATCTAATTGTTATACGCAAAGGACATATATATATATATACATATATAGGATTAATGAATAACTACAATTTTCGACTCGATTAGAAGTCATCGGTAGTAGGAGCAAATGATGTTGCACGATGATGTATCAATGATAAAAAAATCATTGTATTCATCAATCATTTATTTTTGTATGATTATCTTTATCATTTAACTGATAACTAATAAGTAATTAATATTTATCTGAGAATATTTGGTTGAAATAAATTTGTTGATAAACACATTAAATATCTTACTTAACTGAGTCTATATCATCCAGTAGGAGTGTCATACCTTAATGTCACATTTCTTTAGTTTATTTCAAGTACAAAAGTATAAAAGAAGTAAAAACAATCTATGTACCAGAAAAGTAAGAATAGCATTGTTTTACTGGTGATACAATCTAATCATGAAGTATTCTCACTTTTTCCCTATATGTCTAATTAAAAAATCCTGATACTGATTTAAAATCAGAGAAACTTCATATTAATTGCAGATACTCTGAGCAGATCGTACGTTCAATAATGATCTGGTATTGCTTTCATACTTATTATAAAAGAATTCGTAAAAAAGCGCACTATTTCATTATTTAAGGTTATTATAAGATGAGAGAAATAATCCAGTAAAATGAGTATATAGAAGCAATTATATTTTATCAGATTATTTAGTAGACATTTTTCCTTACATTAT